AATCAAGACCAAATCGATTATGAAAGTGGTAAGAATTCCTAATTTCATTTATTTTTAAGTATTCCATTACTCATGTTCCGATTACATATTATTAGATGAATTCTAATAATTTGTATTTTTTTGTTATACTTAGTCACTACTAACTTCCAAGCTCGAATGGAGAGTGCTACTGCCATGCCAAGTGAAGGTGTCAAACAAAGTTTACCTATTGTGGTGGAGGAGGAAGAGGAGGAAGATTCAGACGAGGATGAGGAGGACCATGATGAGGAGGATAATGGTGATGATAACCTTCGCACCACTTTGAAGCAACAAGGTTTTGTTGATGTTGGTGGACCTTCGAATAAGTAATGGTGGTACAAGTCCTAGTGGCAAGTGAGGAACTATTAATTCTATTTTTATCTTCATGTCTTAAAATTTAATTTAAACAGTTAGAAGCAACAAACTAGATTGCTCTATTTTCTCTATTTGCTCTATTTGGAATTTATGTTGTAGGTAATGCACTAATACTATAGCCTACCTATATGTGATCTTATTTTTTAGACTTTAGTATTTGGCATTTTGGCTATTTGCATTTTGCAATTTGCTGTTTGAAATTTAATTGTTGGATTTTGGGGAGTGGGGTCTGGTCTGGGCGTCTAGGGATTGGAGAGAAAGGGAAGTGGCAGCTTTTGAGAAATCAGAAAAGGTTTCCCTTCCCTATCCACGAGAACCCAGAGAGAGATATAACAAATTAATTTTCTTTATAATTGCTGTCGTCTGCTGCTGATTGCTGATGCAGTGTGTAATTGTGTTCTGTGTATGGCGGTGAGTCGGTGACAACAGCATTGAGCCACTGACAGCCGACAGGGACAGGCGGACAGCTGGAGCCTGGACAGGGACACGGACAACAAGGCTCACGGTATCTCGGGATGGCCTGTCCATTATCGAAACCGATTGAATCGGTAAGCGGTATACCGAGGGCCTAGCGGTATCGGCGTGCGGCGCATGTTTGGGCAATGTCGGTAATACCGAAACCGATAAAACGGTAAACCGGTTACCGTACCTTTACCAGCCCTACCATTAGCTAAGATTTTGAGAGTTGACAAAATCCGTGGACCCAATTAACTATGAATGACTAAAGTATCCTTAACAAAAAAATAAAAATACTTTATAAAGTAACCCATAAATCCAAGATAGTAAAATCCATTTTGAAATCCAACAAGCAAACATTTCATTTTTAAAATCCAACACAAATCCAACATAGCAAAATCCAACATAATCCTTCAATCCCCAAATCTAAGCTTTTACCAAAATCCTTCATCTTTTCAAATCCCACAAGCAAACCACCTCTTACAGACCGTTTGGTACCAAATGAATCGAAATTCATTTCATTTTCAAATGAATTACTATGTATAATTCATTTTCAAACGAATTCTTGTGTTTGGTATGTCATCTTCAAATATTTAGAAATGAAATCAATCTCAAACCAGGTTTGGCATACATTTGAAATTGAATTAAATTAAAAGTTTTCAACTATACTTTTATTAATTTCCATAAAATCAAAATAATATACAACTCACACTATTCACATTATTAACATTATTTACAAGGAACAATTCCTGAAGTGTGTATTGTATAATGATGGCTTTGTGTTGATTGCATTATACTTGTGGTGTTCTATGAAAGTGCCATGCAAAATGAGCAGTTAGGATTCTAACTCCAATAGTTTACCACACCAACAAATGAAGGGAGTTGCGCAGCTTGGAGCTCAACAAAATGAGTGCGGATCTGGTGACTAAGGGGGGTGCTTAGTCACTTGACTAAGCCCCTCCTAGCCTTTAGATCTGGACACTTCAATCCAATGGTTAAAAAGTGAGAAGGGCTATTTAATTAATGGCAGGGGTAGTTTGGGTATTATGGAAAATTACGAAGTATACAAACCGGATTTACAATTAGTACAAACCATACAAACATACGAACAGTACAAACTAGAGCGACAAAACATACAAACAGATTTACAAACATTACAAACGTATGAACTGTACAAACAATACAAACTAGACTGACAAACAATACAAACCATACAAAAAGAAAAAACAACCGGGTTGACTTTGGAGGCTCCATCCCTATATAGAGGGGCTCCTTCCCAAAGTCAACCCGGGTGTTTTTTAGACATACAAACAGTACGAACATGGTGGAAAAAATGACAAACTAGAACGACAATCCATACGAACGGAAAAAAACACCCGGGTTGACTTTGGAGGCTCCATCCCTAAAACATGGTTAACAAACATTTCCGACCAGAAAATTTTCCGACCAAATCTCTCTCTCTCTCTCTCTCTCTCTCTCTCTCTCTCTCTCTCTCTCTCTCTCTCTCTCTCTCTCTCTCTCTCTCTCTCTCTCTCTCTCTCTCTCTCTCTCTCTCTCTCTCTCTCTCTCTCTCTCTCTCTCTCTCTCTCTCTCTCTCTCTCTCTCTCTCTCTCTCTCTCTCTCTCTCTCTCTCTCTCTCTCTCTCTCTCTCTCTCTCTCTCTCTCTCTCTCTCTCTCAATGGCCGTGGGCGTACAGGAAGGGGACTTCCCCATTGCCAATAATGGCGCCCCAGGAATTTCCCTGGCCGCGCAGGCGACGCGACGGGGACGGACGGACGGCGTTTTTTTTGTTTTTTTTATAATTCAAAATTAAAAATAAATATGCAGTTACTACATTGTCCTTAATTAAATTGGATCAATAGGAGCCCTTGGATTTTAATGAGGTGCAAGGGTGGAGATTCACTTAGCTATGGGACTAAGGGGACCCCCCTTAGTCACCAGATCTTACCCCCAACAAAATTGGGAGGCGCCCTGGATGGAAGTAGGGTGTATGAGTATGACGATTACCGCAAAGCTGTATATATTGGATTTAATATACAGGCTGAAGAGGTGGGCTACACGCGCAAATTGTTTACTGGCGCAATTTAATTAATAATTAAATATAATGATTTCATTTTATCATAATTAATACAATACCTGTGGAATTCATTTGGAAAGTCCATCTCAAATCTTCGGAATTGCTATAATTAGCTCTAATTCCGTAGAATTCAAATTTTAGAATTAAAAATGAATTCTTTTATATACCAAACACAAAAATGTTTCATTTCAAAATTAATTTTTCAAAACTTATGGAATTCATTTATAACAAACCGTATGTTAGAGATTATTCTCTCATTTATTTTTTTGGGTAGAATTTCTCTTATTACATGTTATTAGTAATAGAGATTAAGAAAGCATTTTTTGCTCTTAAGTTTTTGTTTTAAAACAAAAAACGCCCATTGGCAGTTGGCACCCATTCCACAAATACAATACAACCAAATGAAGGATTTCTTGGAACACATATAATTAATTAATGAAAGCCCAACAAGAAAACGAAAACAAAAATTGTTGAGATGTGTACGGATGAATTTTTAGGTAAAAACATATATATATATATATAGGTGCGCCTGCCTTCCGGTGGCGGCAAGCGACGGCCACACCGTTGTGGTGCCCTGGGACATTGTTGCATCGCCGGGACCCACATAATCGATTTAGTAGTACAAACCCACCTAACTTGGCAGTACAGTCCGAGGATATAACGGTAATTTAAACGTGCAAAACCGTGGACGAGAAATGATCAAACCAACAAGAAAATGAGAAAATAAAAGTCATAACAGAAAATGAAAATGAAAAACGAAAAATACAGCCTTCCTTAATACTTTTCCCACTCGCTCGCTCGACGCGAACGCTAATAAATTGAGAGATTTAGGCGCTGTTTTTTTGGTGTGTGATTGTTTCCGTAGTGCTGGGTGTGTAAAGGTTTGGTCAAGGGGTGGGCAATGAAATGGCGGGTTAAGAGAATTTTGGTCTATCTATCAATTTACTGATTCGTATTATTGTAACTCGTTATTCACTTTTACTCTTCTTTAGATTGAGTTAAATGAATGGCGGATGGATGCAGCATTGCAGCTAAGTTATGGATTTAACTTATAAAAGCAATTCTTTAATTAGTCGTTAAGAAAGATGACTAACATTTATAATAAATTTCTCACAAATTAGTAAGAGTGTATTAATTCATAGACTTCTCACTTTGTCTCCTCTAAATTCGTGTGGTATTCACATCAAATTTTTCATTACTACACCAACCAATTGTGTAAAAAAAGGATAATGTCTATTTTTTATCCAAATTTTTTCCAGATTCTTTTATATTATCCAAACCTATTAAAATGATATTAATTAGCCAAATCTTTCATGATGCATCAAAATATTAGCCATTTTTACGTTATCGTTAATAATTTTGTAACTCTTTTCTTAGTTAAAATACTAAAGTCTTGGAAGGTTGACCTTCATGTGTCTCTTCCAAGTCAGTATCATGTTGCCAAATCAATATTACTAACAAAATTGCTAACTGAAAGTTAACATTCGACTAATTCTTAATATTTGGATAGGTTTGGCAAATAAAAAAGGACCCAAAAAAGATTTTGCTAATAAATAGTCATTATCCTAAAAAAACTTACGTGTGACTTTCATACAATAATTAGTTTATAATTTGCATGATAATATATATTATCTAACATACATTACAATTTACACAATATAGTAACCAATAATATTTGTTTCCATCTTTAGAAGTCCAAGGTGAGTGCGCTTTAGGTGATGACTATTTAATAGTATAAACAAGAAACAATCTTTTGTCACGTGAAAATATGTTGAGAGTCATTCGTGTAATTCGCAATTCATCCATCGTTCATCCAAATAGATACGAGTAAAAGATTTATTAATCCACAATCATCTACCAATTTTGATTCTAGTTATTTATGAATAAATATTCTCATATCGCTAATTAACCACCCACATCTCATACCCTAATTTGGTCTGATCAAGAATTGCACCATACCATACGCCAACCAAACGACCCCTAAATTTTATTCCACTAAAAAAAAAATGCGTTTGTATTTGATTTGATTTGATTTATTGCCGGTGTTCCCCATATATCATTATATGTCCTCGAGTTTTTTTCTGTCTCCCTCCAAACTCCAATCGATTATTCTCTCTCTGTCGCCCGCTCTCTCCGGCTGAAAGATCTCCCCGTATCTCTTTTATTTCCCTTTCTCCTCTATTTCTTCTCCCCCCTAATCTCCTTTCCTCTCTTCTTCTTCTTCTCCATTTTTTCCCTTTCCCTTCCCAATTTCAATTGTTGTTTTTTCCCCTCTTTCTTCCCACCTCCTGTCGAGCGAGATTGGGGTCCTGCTCGGGGGCAGCTAACAATGTCGCCGGGCGTGAGAGACCTGCAGCTGGCTCGAGTCGCCGGCGGAGGCGACGCTGATTCCGGTGACATGGAGGACGTAAGGCTCCTGGACTCCTACGAGCATCGGGAGTCCGATGATGCGATCGAGGCGGGGGAAGGCGAGAAGGAAGGTGGGGGGAGGATGAGGAAGATTCAGGTCAGAATTACCGGGATGACCTGTGCTGCTTGTTCCAATTCCGTCGAATCAGCTCTCAGGAGCATCAATGGCGTCGTTTCGGCCTCTGTCGCGCTGCTGCAGAACAGGGCCGATGTCGTGTTTGACCCCAGCTTGGTCAAGGTTGGTTGGCCCAGATAGACTTTTTTTCCCGTTTCCTTCAATTTTCTTTTCCCCGTTTTCCCTCGCTTTCCCGTTTTCTCGAGGACGCACGCTACTTTCCTTTCTAAATTCGGAATTGCTGGTTTGGTTGGTGTTGCTTTGGAGTGCTTTTGAAGCCCACTCGTTTTCCTTGCTTATTAATGGAATCATTGCATAAGTTTTGATGAATTTTGGTTGGAGAGGAGTTGTTCTATGTCTTTGTAAATCGACAGCGACTTCTATTTTGGGGATGAGTATTAATGCTCTTTCTGGATTCAAATTTGTGTCTTGCAAGTAATTGTCTGTGGTTTAGGGCTATATTGCGAGCTAATACTCTACCGGTTATAATTTTGATCCCCTTTGATGGCCAGAAAACACCCCCCAAAGTAAGAAACTTTAAGGACACTGGAGGAAAACCCTCCAAACGATTCAGTGCTGAATGTCATTTAGACGTGCATTTTTAAATCTCGCTATGGCTATAATTGCTTTGCTCTCTCTGATATGATGTTAACAAGCTGACGAATTTTGTTTGTGAAATCATTCTGAAGTTTTACTTGCTACCATTCACTCCTCATATCAGGATGATGATGTCAAGAATGCAATTGAAGATGCAGGGTTTGATGCAGAGGTTCTGGCTCAACCTACTACAATGAAGAAAAAGTCGAACAATAAAACCCTGGTGGGTCAGTTCACAATTGGAGGTATGACTTGTGCAGCCTGTGTGAACTCAGTTGAAGGTATTTTGAGAGATCTTCCTGGCGTTAAGAGGGCTGTTGTGGCCCTGGCTACTTCTTTAGGGGAAGTTGAGTATGATCCCACGATAATTAACAAGAATGACATAGTGAATGCCATTGAAGATGCTGGTTTTGAAGGGGCACTTGTACAGAGCAGTCAGCAGGACAAAATTATAGTGGGAGTTAGTGGAGTAATGACTGAGATGGACGCACAACTCTTGGAAGGAATACTTAGCACATTGAGAGGGGTTCGGCAATTTCGTTACAACAGGATATCCACTGAACTTGAAGTTCTTTTTGACCCTGAAGTCATTAGCTCTAGATCCTTGGTTGATGGTATAGAGGAAGGGAGCAATGACCAGTTCAAATTACACGTTATTAACCCATATGCAAGAATGACGTCTAAAGATAATGAGGAAGCATCCAATATGTTCAGACTTTTCATTTCCAGCTTGCTTTTCAGTGTGAGTACTGCTTGCCTGTGTTTTCTTCTTCCAATCAGCAGTAGAGCTTCTTTGTTGACAATTCTTCTCTCTTTTTCTCCCATTGGTTACAGATTCCCGTCTTTTTCGTGAGAGTGATATGCCCTCATATACCACTGCTATATTCTGTGCTACTCTGGCGTTGTGGACCGTTCCTCATGGGGGATTGGTTGAATTGGGCATTGGTGAGTGTGGTTCAGTTTGTAATTGGGAAGCGCTTCTATATAGGAGCTGCAAGAGCTCTTAAAAATGGTTCAACCAATATGGATGTGTTAGTTGCACTTGGAACTTCCGCCTCATATGTTTACTCTGTTTGTGCCCTTCTATATGGTGCTGCCTCTGGGTTCTGGTCTCCTACCTACTTCGAAACAAGTTCCATGCTGATAACATTCGTATTAATGGGGAAGTATTTGGAATGTCTTGCAAAGGGGAAAACATCTGATGCCATCAAAAAGTTGGTAGAACTTGCACCAGCAACTGCATTGCTGGTTGACAAAGACAATGGTATTCTTAACATTCCTCAGTCTTACTGATTCTGTTTGTATTTCCAATGCATCTGCTTATTCAATCATGTAATATTCTCTCAATTAATTGATATCATTTGTTTTAGGTGGAAATGTGCGAGAAAGGGAAATAGATGCCTTACTGATTCAGCCTGGTGATACTTTAAAAGTTATTCCTGGAGGAAAAGTTCCGGCAGATGGCGTTGTTGTATGGGGTTCAAGTTATGTTAATGAGAGTATGGTAACTGGAGAGTCGGAGCCTGTCCTCAAGGAGGCTACTTCATCAGTTATTGGTGGCACTATTAACTTACATGGTGTGCTACATGTAAAAGCCACTAAAATTGGATCTGATGCTGTTCTGAGCCAGATAATTAGTTTGGTTGAAACAGCACAGATGTCCAAAGCTCCAATTCAGAAATTCGCAGATTTTGTAAGTATCAAGTTTTGGTTCAGTTTTCTTGTGGCAGTAGTTATGGTGGTGTTAGTAACTGATGTGTCTCAAATGATATCCATCTTGTATCTAACCAAGGATTATGGTTTTATTTCACCTTCATCCCAAAGCTGTCGTAAAATCTCGATTACAGGAATCAAGTGTTTTTCGCTTTTGGTGGAACTTGAGTCTGTGTTATTGTTTCATGAATGATTTCAGTTAATGATGTTAGATCTCTTTCTCTGTGGCAGGTAGCTAGCATTTTTGTCCCTACAGTTGTTGCCATGTCTTTGATTACATTATTAGGCTGGTAAGACCTTGATCACTTATTTCCTGAGTGGCAGTAAATTGGAAACACTCCATTCTTGCTTAGTATTTTTCTTGAATTCCTTGTAGGTACATTGGTGGAACTATAGGAGCTTATCCTGAAACGTGGCTTCCGGAAAATGGCAATTTCTTTGTCTTCTCTCTCATGTTTTCAATATCAGTGGTGGTAATTGCATGTCCATGTGCGCTTGGGTTGGCAACACCAACTGCAGTGATGGTTGCCACTGGAGTTGGGGCTAAGCATGGTGTGTTGATAAAAGGAGGAGATGCTTTGGAAAGGGCTCAAAAGATTAATTATGTGATATTTGATAAAACTGGAACTTTAACTCAAGGGAAAGCAACTGTCACCACTGCAAAAGTTTTCACAGGAATGGATCGTGGAGAATTCCTCAGATGGGTGGCCTCTGCCGAGGTAAATTTGCTTTTCTTTGACATTCTGTAGTATGATTACATGAACGGACTGCCTGAAACATTTCTCATGTATCTGCTGTTCTGTTTTCCTTCTTTTCAAATCTCATGTATGAAAATTAATGACTGATGCCTTGAGGGTTTCCCACTTCTATCGTGGTCCAGGCCAGCAGTGAGCATCCATTGGCAAAGGCAATAGTGGAGTATGCACGGCACTTTCATTTCTTTGACGGGCCTTCTCCAAGAAAGGACGGCGAAAACCATAATAAAGATTCAACAATGTCCGGATGGCTTTTAAATGTCTCAGATTTCTCTGCTCTACCTGGGACTGGTGTCAAGTGCTGTATAGATGGCAAACGAGTCTTGGTAAGGCCAGTGGAGACGTTGCAACAAGTGCTGTTTGTTTTGATTTCTGAGTGAAGTAGGATTTTTTTTTAATATATACTTATACACAATGTGTTACAATGGCGGAGCAGGTGGGGAATCGGAAGCTCATGGCTGACAATGGCATTGAAATCTCAGCTTATATCGAAGACTTTGTGGTAGAACTTGAAGATTCTGCAAAGACGGGCATACTTGTTGCATTTGATAACAAGCTGATTGGCGTTCTGGGGGTCGCGGATCCTTTGAAGAGAGAAGCGGCTGTTGTTGTGGAAGGCCTTCAAAAGATGGGCGTCGAACCAGTCATGGTCACTGGAGACAACTGGCGGACAGCTCGGGCAGTAGCAAAAGAGGTATGTGTGTTCCGTTTCTTATTGGTAATTGACAAATTGTTAGCATTTGGAAGAGGAACTAAAAGCAGGTTTTTCTTCAAAGCAGGTCGGGATTAAAGATGTAAGAGCAGAAGTTCTGCCAGCAGGCAAGGCCGATGTGGTCCGCGCATTTCAAAAGGACGGAAGCACGGTCGCCATGGTTGGCGATGGCATAAACGACTCCCCTGCCCTGGCTGCATCGGATGTCGGAATGGCCATTGGTGCGGGGACAGATATAGCAATAGAAGCTGCCGATTACGTGCTGATGAGGAACAACTTGGAGGACGTAATCACTGCCATCGATCTGTCGAGGAAAACGTTTGCTCGTATCCGGCTGAACTACATGTTTGCGATGGTGTACAATGTGGTGGCGATACCCATAGCCGCGGGAGTGTTCTTCCCTTCTCTGAGGATCAAGTTACCGCCGTGGGCAGCCGGTGCCTGCATGGCGCTTTCGTCGGTGAGCGTCGTTTGCTCTTCTTTACTTTTGAGACGATACAAGAAGCCCAGACTCACCACGTTACTGAAGATTACTGTAGAGTAGATGAACACGAGTAATGTAAATAAACATTGTGATGTTGTAATGAATTGTTACAACAAAATGGGGGAAAAGATGTTGTAAGGAGGGAAAAGTTTGGGAGGGTTCTGGGGGGATTCCAAATTTTGTACAATTTTCATTTTTTGGTTTCTTACAGTTAAGCCTAAGTTTAGCCTTTCTAAGCTTTGCCGTTGTAACATACCGCCCCATTGATGAAATGTTGTAAAGGGGAGCCTGAGTCTCTTACTATGTGTGTAATTCTGTTGTAATGATATCATCGTCTAGCTTCTTGCTTGCGTATTCATTCTTATGTAAGTGATTAATCTTCTGCAAGCGAGTCCTGTTTCTATATTTAACACCTTTTGTTATTTTGACAGTGCTCTGGTAAAGCAGGTAACGCGTTGCAAATTGCAAGTACCTCTTTGCTTGTTCCGTTTTGGGCTGCTTTCGCTTGGGGATGAGTTTAGTTGCTAACCATTAAGGGTTAGCATCATACTTAATTACAGTTAGATTAAAAAACAAATTCTAGTTAGTCAATATATTTTTAACTGGATTCCTATTTAACGTCCTAAATTTTTAAAATTATCGCCCTAAATTAACTAAACAGACAATTCTACCCCCAATTCAAAAAAATATGCTAGTTCACCGATTGACCCAGGGCGGTGAAGGGTGGAGCAGAGGGCTCGGGAGTCACTAATCCGACACCAACTGTACTTCTCAATCAGGAATCGAGCAGAGGGCTCGGGAGTTGCCCACTCTTCTGCGTTCTCGATCGACACAGTGGAAGGCATGGCGGAGGCGACCGCCGAAGCAGAGCAATTCCTATTCTCCTTCCTCAGCGTCGCTGATAAATCCAGCAGCGAACTGAGCCCAGACGTCGGCGACGAGCAGAGCAGAGGAGAGCTGCAGAGCGAGGGTCGGTGAAGGTAGATGCTTCTTGTTCTCTCCTTCCTCAGCGCCGCTGAGAAATCCGGCACCGACTGAGCCAGGGCGGCAGCGACGGGGGAGCAGCAGAGCGAGGGTGATGGAATTAAATTTTTTCGTTGAACAAGGGCGATGGAATTTAGGGCGATACTCGACCCACGCCGACCACCTCGCAGCCGCTGTAATTCTTATCACTGCAAGAGTCGCTGATCATTTTTGCCTTTTGGATTTGAGGGCGGTGGAGGGAAGGGGGTGAAGACAGGGGAAGGGCGGCCAATTGAGTTGGTCAGGAGGGTATCAGGGGGTATAATCGTCTACTGGGTAGATTTAGGGCGTTGAATTTGAAAGTTTAGGGCGTAAAATAGTAACTCCCTAACCTTCCGCATCTCACTCAGACATAACAATGAGTTATTCACCTATTTTTTATTATTTTTTTCCGTTAAATCAGTTGCTTTTGTATTACCAAAACTATATGCAATGTACATTAGAAACCGATTCAACGAAAGGGTAGCTCGATGTGAGCAACCCTGCAGAAATGAAACTTCAAAGACTCCCCACATTCCTACAAAAGACATAACTCAACCCATAAACCCAGCTGCACTAAGATCTGCCTGCAAACTACTATCCACACTACCCAGATACATTAAATCAGAGACTATCAAACGACCAATACCAGCAACATCCCTGGGAGGTAACTGGTGCTGTCTATTGCACCTCTCACGCCACAAATAAGCGATACACGCACACCAGAACACCCCTGCAACTCTCCCAGCCGGCATCTTCCTTTTGCTCAGAGCAACAACAACATTCACATTTCCCTGCCAACCTGAACTGCAGAACAGATGGGCATCTCTCCAGCAAGAAATCACCTGCATTGAGTAAGCACACTGAAAGAACAAATGTTCTCTGGTTTCAACCAATGCAGTAAAAATCGCGCTTTAAAACTTAAAAACTTACGATTTTACGCTTTTAGGTCACCAAAACGCTTTCGTTTCCATAGAAAAACTTAAGTGTATAAAATCGGACTAAATTACGCTTTAAAGCTTAAAAGCTTACGGTTATACGCTTCTAGTTCTCCAAAACGCTTTACGTTTTTACGCTTTTAGTTCACTAAATGTGTATTCTTTTCATGAAATTAATTATGAAAAGTATATTTTAAAAGTAAATCACCAACAATATGATACATTTAAGATTAAAAGATACATATAAGGTACTTGGATGCATTCTCAACTTCGATAGAGTAATCTAATTCACCCGTTAGGCTTTTCTCAAATTCATTAGCATAGTGGGAAAAGTGGCTTATTGTTAAAATATATGTTTACAAACTTATTATTAAGATGCTATAAGTTGTTCTACTTTAGGCATGAATTGCATGTATTTATTGACTTATCTAAATTCTGTGCATTCATATTTTGCATAGCATATGTCCTACTTAATACATTTTTAGTTATTTTTTCAGTATGCGTAAAAAACTTACGCTTTTACGCTTTGATTCTACGCTTTACGATTTTACCCCTTTTCGGCTTCTAGGTAGAATCGCGCTTTTGACTGCATTGGTTTCAACCGAGGTTTTGCAAATCAAACAAGCACCATATGTTATCTTACCCCACCTTAATAGTTTATCTCTAGTGATAATACCATCTAGCAAGACAAGCCACACAAGAAGACTGTTGTTAGGTAGGTGGCCTTTTCCCCAAACCAGACTTGCCCAGTCCACCTTCTGATGTTTAGTTCGCAACGCATGCCAAACAGTAGACACTTTATAAACAAGCATCAACTTTCCATCCCAATTAGGAATTGCACATGACATCGTCAAATGAGCTTGAAGTAGGGGTCTGAGTTTTAGAACCCTTCTCCATGCCCACGAACTACTGGGACTAACACTAATAGTCCAAACATTGCCTTGCTTCACCTTATAACTCCACATCCAGGCTACCCAAATACTCCCACTTTTCATCATTAATAGCCAGATCATTCTGATAGAGCAGGCCCTGTTCCAAGCTAAAAGATCTTTAATTCCAAGACCACCTTCCATTTTCGGTAGAGCTAATCGATCCCAGCCAATTTTTGCTCTACCTTCCTTCCCCCCAAGCCAAAGAAAATTCGAGCAAATAGTATACACTTGCTTTAGTACCTTCTTAGGCAAAAGGAAGACTTGCATCCAATACTGCAACAAACCCATGATTATAGAGTTGATCAATTCAAGCCTACCTACATAATTCAGCTGCTTGGCACGCCAGGTTCCAATTTTTTGAGTAATCTTAGTCACCAGCTTATCACAATCAGTACAAGAAAGTCTCCCAGAGAATAATGGAAGCCCCAAGTACCTTACTGGAAGTTTCCCTTCCTGGAATCCAGATAACTATAAAGCATTACTCTTGAAGAGAGCAGATTGCCCCCCAAAATACACTTCACATTTGCTTTGATTACACTTAAGACTAGAAAGTGAATAGAACTCATTTAAAAGCTCTTGTACTCTACATATTGCTTGCGCAGACCCCTCTGTAAAAATTAGAAGGTCATCTGCGAAGCATAAGTGAGTTAACCCTATGTTCTTGCACTATGCATGGTAGACCAATGATTTACTCGCTGCAGCTCTGTTAAGTAAGGAGGATAGACCCTGCATTGCAATAGTGAACAAATAGGGGGAGAGGGGATCCCCCTACCTTACCCCCTTTTTGCCCCAAAAAATCCACAAAGCCCTCCATTGACACAGATACTAAAACGAGAAGTTTTAACATAGAGTTTTATCCAATATAGGAACTTAGTCGGGAATCCTATAGTTTCCATCATTAAGAATAGATAATCCCAGTTTACCGAGTCAAAAGCCTTCATAAAATCAATTTTTATAGCACAACGGGATGAAATGTTCTTTCTACTATAACCACGGACTAATTCTTGAGCCATTAGGATATTGTCCACTATTCTTCTTTCTTCAATAAAAGCTGACTGATTACTACTAATCACAGTTGGAAGTACTTTCTTAATCCTATTAGACAGTAGTTTTGCAATGATTTTATAGAGAATGTTAACACAAGAAATGGGCCTAAATTCTTTGAGCTTACAGGCAAAAGTTACCTTAGGGATAAGGAAGATTGCAGTAGAGTTGGCACTACTTGGCAGTCTGCCAGAAGAAAAGAAGTCCAGAACTGCTTTGGTGATGTCCTCCCCAATAATAGACCAGGCTTTCTGAAAGAACCCAGCTGAAAAACCATCCGGGCCAGGGGCTCTATGTGGATTCATATGCATGATCACTGACTTAACATCCCCAGAGGTAAATCCCCCACACAACATTGACTTCTCCTCTTCTAATAAAGTTTTAGTAATAAGGGCCTCCAACTCCAACTTGTTAGGGTTAACAGCCTGATCCACTTTCCCAAACAATATCTGATAGAATAAGACTGCTTCCTCAACTATCAATTTAACATCAGTAATCTCCTCCCCAGAATCTAGAACAAGCTTCCGAATAGCCTTCTTTACAGTTTTTGCTTTAACTGACTGGTGAAATTATCTTGTACCTCTATTCCCCATTGTGAGGGACCTGATTCGAGCTTTCCTCCAATACAAACCTTCCTCAACCGTTTTCAATTCCTCCCACTTCTTCTGCATAGTAGTAACTTCAAGAAAACTCTCAGCAGAAGGACAGTTGAGAGCCACCTGCTGAGCAAGCAGATAGAGCCTCTCAGCTTTCCTGACTTGACAACTAATGTCTGAAAACACCTCCTTATTTAATCTCTTCAGCCCTTTTTTTCACCTCATTTAGCTTTGCTTTGACCATCTGAATAGGCACCCCTTGAACCTGAGTATCCCATCCAGTCTTAACAATCTGCAGGAAGTCTGGATGCTCTGACCAAAAATCGAAATATTTGAAAGGTTTGGGGAGAGTCCCCTGATCTGGTTTGGTAGACACCAGAATTCCACAATGGTCAGAAAACGTACTAGTAACTATTTCCACTATACAATTGGGAAACATATCAAGCCACTTCTCATTTACCAATGCTCTATCAAGTCGTCGTGCAATGGGATTTCTCACCTGTCTATTTGTCCAGGTAAAGAGTGGCCCAGCAGACCTATGATCAAATAACTCCATAGATGAGACCCACCCATTGAAATCACTCATACAACTGGTCATATCAGTCAAGTTTGATGTGTCAGAAGGACTAAGAACATCATTAAATCACCACCTACAATCCAAGGTACTGTGGTCACCTTTAAAGGAGTCATTTCACGATATGTAGCTTGACGTTCTGCTTCCTCATTGGAGCCATAGACAAGACTCCCCCACTCTACTCTGAACCAGAATATGCACAAAATTTTTACCAGGTACCATAACTCTTGCAGTAACTCTGTCAGGATTCCAGTATATCCATAGTCTCCCCAAGTCACTATCCACATATTTCAAGTGCCTCTGCCAGCCAAGACAGAAACCCTCA